TCTTTTCCCATAGAGCTGGAAACGAGACAAACGAGCTCAAACTCCAGAGTCCAGACACTCGAACTCGGGGTCAAGCCCTTATCGAGTCGAATCAAGCAACGCCGAGTTCAACTTGTTAGGTTATTGAGTCGATAAACGAGCTTGAACCTTAATGAACCAATACATGACAAAAGTTCAATAAAAGAGTAAACCTCTATTTATCAAACCTAATCATGAGCCAAGCTCGGTTCATTAACTAAACAAGCCTTAAACGAGTTCACATTCGACGCGTTTATCAAAGAATCTGAACCGAAATCGAGCTTTAAAATTACTATCAATGGCGGTAAACATGAAAAATTAAACGCCTTTGATTCACCGGGCTTAGAAGGAGTTTTCAGGTCAGAATGCCTATCGGGAGGTTCCCAAGAGACAAGTCTAACATCGTGTTATTTTGTTTTTAGTTGTCCAAAAGTAAGCTCATGGTAAGAAGCCCAGTTAATTATTTTTAAGCTACTCCTAATGTCACCCATCTGTTTTTGAGAAATTTACTCCCTTTACAATCCATTGGCTAAATAATATCACAATTACGATTACACAAATTTTTTATCAACATTACGTTTTAAGTAATTAATATAATATTAATAGGTGAAATGGTTATATATGGCCTAATTAAGTGAGATTAATTATATTTTTTGAGAAGTGATAAGAGGTCTCCACGCTATCTTCTTCCTCAAGAAGTAGTCCAACTCACGTCTCTCTCTCTCTCTCTCTCTCTCTCTCTCTCTCTCTCTCTCTCTCTTTCCTATACTCAGGTCGAAGGATATTTTTTTTTCTCCTCTCTTATTCCAGCAGCCTCGTTCATCTTCTTGTAGCGCATAAATTTTCTCCTTTCTCTGTCTTTTCACCATTGAGCAACTTATTAAAAAAAAATCGTCACCCTAGTAGACCCACCGCGATCTGTACACCGTTTAACATCTCGACCTCAAAAGCAGACCCTACCGCCGTCGCATTTTACATGCGTCCTCACAGCAAGCCCTTGTCGAGGAAATCTCAGACCCAAAGTTCTCCGAGCAGCAATAGCCGCGAGCTTCAAGGCCATGCGCTGCCATCACCGAGATCCACCCACCCCGCAGCCTAGAAGTAAGCAGCCGCGACCCGCTTTCTGGCAACCACCCATCTTCCCCGAGTAGTGCAACCGTCCGCGCGAGGAGCTTATTACAAGATCAAAGATGTTTATATGTTGTTTATTTTATGTATATATATACACTTTTTGGTTCTGTTATTGGATTATTGCAGAATCAAAGATGTTTACATGTTGTTTATTTTATGTATATATATACACTCTTTGTTCTCCTGTTATCGGGTTATGGCAGAATCAAAAAATATGTTTATATGTTGTTTATCTTATGT